GTATCTTTGAAACGCGGATAACTTTTTCCTTGATTTTTAAGCTCAACAACTTCGTGAATGTCAGAGTATGCTTTATCATTAGAACTTATTCCAGCCATGCCTTAAAAAAAAGTTAGCTTAAAAAAAGGGGGCAAAAATCTCTTAGATTGGTTTATCGTCTAAATTCACGAGTCTCCCAAATATGTAAGTAGTCTCTACACAAAGTGCCTTGGAGGAAAGAAAGAGTCAGTCCTTGGTCCTTAACACAAAGTGTCTTGGATGATGAAAGGAATAGATCTTTGGCCCTCAACACAAAGTGTCTTGGACGGTCGAAAGAACAGGTCATTGGTCCTCAACACAAAATGTTTTAGACGAACAAAGGAGCAAGTCCTTGGTCCCCAACAAAAAGTGCATTGGATGGTGAGAAGTGACAGTCCTTAATCCTTAATATATATGAAGATTTGCAATTTTAAGTTTATTCATAAGTATATATTTTTTAAACCTATAAAATAATTGCAACATAAAGATTTAACCTCTACACGAAAAAAAACTCAAATCTCAAAATCCTTAATTTGCTCCAAAAACTGAATCCTTGCAAAAAAATAATAATAATAAATAAAATAAAATAAAATAAAATTGAAAAATGTTAATTTCAACTTTTTTAAACAAAGATACAAAATCAATAATAATAACAAGGACAATAATAAAAACAAAACTAAAAGAAAAGAAAAGAAAAGGAAGAAGAAATGAAGACAAAAAAAATGAAGGAACGAATCTTCATATATATATATATATATATAATAATAATAATAATAATAATAATCATCATAAATAAAGGATGCATTCTACACAGAAACCAATTGATTAATTGGTTTCTGTGTTCGAAAATTGGTTTCTGCACAGAAAAATCAATTGGTTTCTGTGCAACTAACAATTGATTATTATACGTATATTTTTTGACTTGGTTCCTGCACAAACAAAAATAAATAAAAATTAGTTAACCAAAATTTTTTTGCATAAAACCAAAAATCGAGGAAGATTATCATTATAAAATATACTAATAAAGGTTTCTACCGTATTGGCAGAAACCAAGAATTTGCCACCACGAAACAAAAATGATAATAATGTAAGTGACGGAAAACAAGAAACCAATCTTGGTTCCACCACAAATTTGTTTTCGCCGTGAATTAAAAAAAAATAGTAAACAAACGAAAGACAGAGAATTAAAAAAAAAAAAAGGAATTGTTTACCCCTGTTTGCAAGATTTAACAGACTTATTTCCAAGTCTCATAATTATTTTGTATAAATAGGCGGGTAATGGACTTCACTTAAACCAAATTTACCATAAAACGTAAAAAAGCTTGTTTAAATCACATTTATTATGAATCATATAAAATGAACAAATAAATAATCAAAATTCGACAAAAATAAAAAAAAAAATCTTATTCTTAAATTTGAAGGATAAGAATTTTATCAAATTCACAATTCATTCTCAAATTTGTCGTCCGTATTAATTTACTAACGGAAGTTTGAGTTCAAATCAAAAGAAAAAATTGAAAAAAAAAATTTGAAAAAAAAAATCGAAAGTTAAGAATTATTTATTTATTTCATGATAAATAAATAAATAAATCTTGAGGGGGCATTTGTAGATGTAAAAAATAAAATAAAGAAAATGGGCTGGATTGATTTAAATCACTAGCCCAATTAAATCTTAAAAGTCTACTAAAATTCATAAAACTCAAGGGTCCATACCATATTTTAAATAAATAAAAACATAATTACTCAATTATCCATTTTAATTAAATATAATTGAATGATTATCAAAATTAACACAAATTTTCTCCTATAAATAGGACCAATGGTCCATGGGAAGAGGAGGTGAATAAGAAGCAAAAAAGAAAGCAGAGAACGCCACGAAGTTCTGAAGAAATTTCAATGCCGAAAGAATTGGAAGAAATTCTCTTAAACCTAAACTCGGTGAACCCCAAGAAAGTTAAAATTTTCTTCGAATCAAACAGGTTCACGCCAACTACAAGAAGATCAAAGTCTTCTTCAAATCAAATCAAATTCAAGTCCAAGTCCAAGTCCAAGCCTCAAAATTCAAGTCACGAACAAGTCAAATCTCGACAAATCAAATTTTCAACAAATTCTCGAAAGCCAGGATTCAAGCCACGTGACCCCTCGTCTTTAAATATTCAGATCATTAATCAGAGGATTTGACAAGAAGGATAATATCACTTGTATTTATCAAAATATAATTTGTAACAATTTCTGTATTTTAATACACGGAATTCGTCATACACTCACTTTATCTCTAACGGTCAAAAAATCAATTATTAAAATCCCTACCAAACAAGCACTAAATATACGATTTTCATTCCAATCCCTAATTACTTTCCCCCTCATTTCTCTCTCTCTCTCTCTCTCTCTCTCTCTCACTTTCACCCCTTTCTGTCTTCATCGGAGCTGTTCTCACCCCCATCTCTCTCGTCTCCTTCACTGAGCTGCAGCGACGATGACTCACAATTGGGAGCGTCGTGCAAAATGGAGCTTTTCTTCACTAGAGTCACATCGAAGACTTGGACGATAGCGGAGACATGGATAGTGTCAATTGTCGCTACAACGCTGTGCTTCACGATAAAAGGGCACTGTTGCAGTTCGGGTGTTGATGGTGTGCTATAGGTGGTTGGGGCCGGTGGTGGTGGATTTGTGACAAGGTACGGTCGTTTTGGCTTTGTTTGTTGGAGTGGTGACGCTGGCTTTTTTAGCGGGCTGCTAGTATGGTGGTTGGTTACGGTAATGGTGGTACCGTGATGGTTTCTTGTTGTTATATTTTGTGAAAGAGTGTTTGGGTAGGGTGGTGGTTGAAAATGGTGGAGGTGGTGATGGCAGTGATTGTTGAGGGGACGATGACGGTGGTAAGGTGATGACCTTTTAGATTTGATTAGTTGGCGGAGAGCTATGGTGGTAGCACAAGTTGCGGTAGTGGTGGTGGTGCTGCTTGTAATTACGATGGAGTGTGGTTGTAGTTGCGAAGACAATGGTGTGGTTGTTGGTGGCGGCGACGACGACAATTGCATGAGATGGGGTTGGATGTTTGTGATCAATTATTTGGTTGATTATGACCAATAATTATTTAATTTGTAATATGTGACATATAAGTTTTGACTGTAACTCATAATTGATTAAGTTGTGATCGAAAAATTAATTATAACCAATTAATATAATAATTTGCAGTGAATAAATGAATTGTAACCAATAAAATTTTTTATTTTGTGACTAGTGAATAATTTGTGATCGATAATTTGATAAATATTGACATACAATAAGTTGTGACTTATAATATTTGTGATTTGTGACCAATAAATAAATCGTGACTCATAAATTTTTTTGATTTATGATCGATGAACAAATTGTGATCTATAAAATTTTTTATTTGTGATTGTAAAATAATTTGTGACATAAAATTTCTGATTTGTGATTAAATAATAATAAGTGACTAACTAAATCATTAATGTGTGACCAAATTGCATAGATCTGTGATATAAATATATTTAATTAATAAAATAATTAATTAATTAAGTAAATCATAAATAAATTTTAATAAAAATATGATTTTTAAAGTTTGAAACTTGTTTTCTTGATTTTGAAATGTGTGATATTTAAACTCTTAAGCTTTGTTTGATTCTCATTTTTTTAAAATACATTTATCACTCTCTTATTTTTTACTTCACATTTTTTATTAAAATAATATTACATGTAAATCAAAAAAATTTCAACTACATATTTTCCATCAATTTAACATTCTAAAATATATTTTTTATAAAAATTGGGCTCAAACATCCTCTTACTTAAGAATTTTTCTCATTGCTCAAATGCCTGCTATGAACTTTGGGCTACCCCAACCCACGTTAGCTAAAAAATAAATAAATAATTTCTTAGAGGCATAATATTGTTAAACCGATGGGCGGTGCTAGCAATTCTTAAAGCAGCTAAACTAAATGGCATGTAATCTAAAGAGAGACCCCACCGGTTTCCTCTGCCATATTGACTGATCTTTTTTGCATGTCCCCTCACCTGCAACCTACCACCCACGCAGTTGAATATGGATTGGACCCCAACCCTTCCGCTGAATACCAAATCTCAACACTGATTTTCTATCGATGGTACCTTTTGGAGGCATTTACACCTACTTTTTTTGCTCTCTAATTGGAGAAATGATTAAAATTGGGTAACCTCACAACTTCAATAAAAAAGATCATTGTTATTTTAAAATCATTACTAATATCACCTGCACTGAAAAAATTTTCTAGATCCGCTCTCGAGCACATTGACATGTTCTCAATGTTAATTTGCAATGAAACGAAATTGGATTGATGTAATTGTTACCTACAATTGAAATTAGAAGTTTATTACAGAAAAATCAATTCACAATGGTGGTCCCTTGAGTGCATTGACATGTTCTCAATGTTAAAAAAATATGTTCAGGTCATTTATTTGTGAATTCACCCTGTTTTTCATTTATGTCAACGAAAGGTATAAAATATGTTGAAGTTATGCCACATAGGTTGTGAAGGAGGTTGGTATTCAATTTATAGGTGTGAGGGAAAGTCTCACCTCTTGAGCTAGCTTTTGAGGTGAGATGAGTCTAATACCACCTAACACTGATATCAGAGCTCAATTTATCAATAAGTCTCTGACCCAATAGTCACGAAAATATGGGTTTGTGTGAGGGGGAAACGAGTTTGATCTCCCGCAAGCCCCGTTGTGTTAGGAGGAGATGTGTTTGGTCTCCCATAAAGTCCGATGTGTGAAAAAGAGATTGTTGAGATTATCCCACATCAGTCGTGGATGAGGTTGATATTCAATTTATAAGTATGAAGGAAAGTCTCACCTCTTGAACTAACTTTTGAGGTGAGAGAGACCTAATACCACTGAACAAAATGTACCAGTTGTACGGTCTAACATAACGTATTAGAATTGTTCAGAGCACACATTTGTAAGGGTGTACATACATGGAGTCGATTAAATTTGATTCAAATATAAAAAATTTGGAGGATAGGCAGCACCAGCATTAGACACACAATATATAAATAAAGCAAAAGCATTATAAGCAAAATCTACGAAAATATGAACATTAGAGCGGTATTCATTGAACTTCACCCACACATACACAGATCACTACTAGGGCAAACCCATTCACCAAACTAAACTTATTTGTAAGGCATTTTTCTAGTTTTCCCCTGCAATTCAAGGGTGGGGTGGCTTCTCCAAATCCTCGAGAGGGCGAAAAAAGGCCTTTTGCTCCAACACTGAATCGCCACTAGCACTCATCGATGAGGAGTGAAAACCGCGTGTAGCCGGGTTGTGATCGGTTGTAGGGCCAAAAACCCCGGTCTGAGGGTGAGGACCCCAATATTTGTCAGATTCGGGTAGGATTAAATAGTCAGGCACCACGGTTGAGTGGACATGCTCCTCTAGATTCTTGTCGTAGACCGACACATGAACACCCCTCCTGCGTAATGGATTAGATAAATTCGGATTCAATCAAAGCATAAAACAATGATAGGATGATGGTACCTAAATAAAAGGCTTTATTAATTAAATACGAAAACCTAAACGAGAGGCTTTAATGGCGGGCGCTTATATTAGGTAGGTGTTTGTTTTCACATGTTCAATAATAACACATAATAAGATAAGGACTTGCTTATAACCAAATAATTGCCTGATTAATAATGAAAATGACATAATGGCACCACATTGTCCTCACCTCATGGTTAAGGTGAAGGAAATAGAAAATTATACGCAGTCGAAAATACATTAAAAAAATAAAAAATAAAAAATCATGCCCAGTGCTACACAATCACCGTCACGTTCGGTAAGGTAGGTTGGAGTTGGACAACCTTAATTTGAACAATATCAGAAAAGTCTATTTTAATGAATAATATCATCGATTAAAGTTGTAAATTAATGAGTTGTTGAACGTTCAAAAAATTAAAAATAATAGAAAACTCACCCACATTGGGAGAAATAACCGAATAATAAAATAATAATAACCAAGAAACATTTTAAAATTTACTTGGAGGCCGTCCTCTGCTGACGGTGACTTGTCCTCATCCAGGGGTATTTTTTAGTAAATTAAGTTAATCAAAAGAATTAAGTCATTTATACTTCTTTGTTGGCACTTTGGGTTACTCGATCCACCACTCATCGGATCCCATGTGGGGGTCATGACGTCGGGTCCGACCCCCATGTGAGACGAAGAGGCGAACCCAAGTGAATCAAAATGTGAACAAATAAGTACAAGTAACATGACGCTAACTAAAAAGTATCTTACAAAGGGCTTGAAAAATAATATGATATATAGCCGATCTTTATCTCCATTTTTCCCAAAAATTCATTTTTCCTATAAAATAATTTCCCACTTAAATTCACAACTTTTCACACGTCGATATTTCAAAAATAAAAAATAAAAAATGCTGCCCATAATAATCTTTCAAATGACCCAGATCAAAGGTGACAGAAAGATTTCGAGCAAATTCAAGATTGTGTGTTCTGTTGATGAGATCGTTTCATTTCACATACAAAATCACAGAAATGTTAAATAAAGCTTTAAACCTCTAAAAATGCAAATATTTTAACAAAAATTAGAATTTATCGCGCAGGCATGCAAAAATTTTCCTCCAATTAAGATTGATCAGTCGAAAGATGGTTATACCTGAGAGACAGCGAAGGAAGAAATCGCTTTGCCAGTCCCAACCTCAGCAAATTGGCTGCCATAAATCAGTGAGGAAAAGAAAATTTAGATTTTACGTATTCACTGGGTATATCTACAAGATGACTGAAAGGACGCCTCATTTTATAGAGATGAAGATGTTTGACTCTGTGTTTTTATTTTATTTTTATTGGATCACCTACCCTTACTACGGACTAGGGATTTCCGTCAAATGTTGGACCGACATTTAACGACAACAGTAAGAATTGACGGACGTGTCTGAGATTATTTATTTATGATGAAATTTAGTATTTGTGTCCTCGATTTTTGGATACGTGAACATTTTGGTGATCTATTTCACTACTTCTCATTTTCTGATACTTGAACTGTTGCTAATACAGTAAAATCTAAATAAAATGAAATATTAGAAATGAGAAAATTATTACTTTAATTTGTCGATCTATTAATTTTACGTGAAATCTTCTCTAATCCACGCTACACGTGCGATGGATATCGAGAACATCTCAAATTATTTTATGAAAATATAATGACGAAATGTCTATTGACGAAGAGATTATTCAGAGGTACTGAATACGCTTAAAAATGATTATTTAAGGGGACTAGAAGATCTTTATTTTAAATTTGTATTGTGGAAATTAATTTGAGGACTTAAAAGTCGAAAATTCCGGATGCCAATTTTCCTCTGTATCAAGTGTCAACCATTTTATGCACGAATATCCGGCGGATCTCCTAACGACGTTAATTTAATCAGTTCAGTGGGTCCCGCAATGCAGGTGATCTGAGTCAGCATGTGTCACTCTATTTTATCCCATACCAATCCATGTGATATAATAATATAATAGAGGAAATTTCACCCAATGTCCATTTTCATCTATTCATTTACAAAAATGTTCATCATTGTAAAAATGTCTGTTTTAAGACCAAAACACCCTTGTTAACAATTTATAATTCCATGCTAAGACAAAAAAAAATAGACATTTTTGCAAAATTATTATTGATCAATAAAATTTTGACACATAACCTGCCATATTTATTTTAAAAACATACATGTCAAATCACAATAAATGCTATATTTTTCATTGACTCAAGAATGTCGAGAACTACATTTCAAATGTAGAGAAATGTCATTCTAGACAAATGAAACGGTGTTCAAATGTCGAGAATAACATATGAAATGTCGAGAAACATTATTTTAATGTAACTTCTCATGAAAGATACTTCTTGAAATTCGTGACAAATTAAAAAAAAATGAAATGTCGAGAACGACATTCAATTGCTCCATTTTTTCATTAAGGGCATGGTAGACAAATTGGCACTAAATTCAAATGAGTGAACACTTTTAAACTCAAACCCCTTAAAATTGGACATTCTTAAAAATGCCTCATAATAATAATACAGTGCATGCGACCTGCCTATGAGCTTCCTATTAGAAAAATTTCGGTCGGGTTCAATTTAAGACTGGTAGGCGGTTACAATTTTGGAAGTCAAATGATTTGTGCTAATGCCTATTTAATGTTTTATTGGTGGATCTTGATTGACTATTGAATAATTAATACAAGAGATTTGCTCATTTTAATAGTCTCATAAGGTCCTAAGGTCAAGAAGATACAAATTTGTGGAATTTTTATAGCACACTTTGATACGATAGAAAGAGATTAAAGGAATTTATTGATTATTTTGCGAAAATGTTCAAAAAAGGGGGTTAAAAAATATAGCATTATTCATACTTTTAAGATTAACCAAACATGCTCTGATGGTCTAATCCAACCTAATTGGGACAATGACAAGAGTCAAATTTTCAACAAGGAGGAATAAATAAATGTTTAAGGAGCAAAATATACATGTATTTAAAATATTATGGTATTGCTCTAACAATGCTTTGGGTATAAACCAAAATTCGATACTCTCTCTTATAATTCCAAAAAGGGCTATTGCAGCATACACAAATCAATTCAGACAAGGAAGGTTCCAGAAGATGCTCTTGCTGATGTGTAATTCTGTTGCAATTAAATTAGATTTTCACCTTGCTGGAATATTTTGTAACAGATTTTGTTAGCATAGTTGTATATATATACCACGTTTTTGTATCACTTCAAGATGGAATGCAAAAATATTCATTCTTCATTTTTACGCATTTCCAGCTTCCTCTGTTTTTAATTTCCCAAGTTATCTATTTCTTATATGGTATCAGAGCCATGACAGGGGATAACAAGACTGTGACAGAGGAGGGCAACATCATGATACAACCAAATACCAACCCATATACCAATCTTGCAAATCCTTCCAATCCGTACCGATTGGAAACCTCAAACAACCCCGGAACAGTACTCGTCACCGAACTGCTCACCACCACAAACTATGAAACCTGGGCACGGGCTATGCAACGAGCCTTACGAGCTAAGAATAAACTTGGTTTCGTCAATGGAACTTTGAAGAAACCCACCACCATTGATGATCCTCTTTTGGAGCTATGGGAACGTTGCAATGACATGATTATGTCCTGGATTTACAACTCCATCGGCCAACAACTCAGATCTAGTGTGGCTTTTGTGGATAATGCAAATGAAATCTAGACGGAGTTACGAGAGCGATTTTCACAGCAAAATGGTTCTCGGATTTATGAACTGAAGAAGGCCTTATCAAACCTAACTTAAGAAGAAGATCCTGTGAGTGTTTACTAGGGTAAACTTAGAAGTTTATGGGATGAGCTCTCGGTCTATGATCCCTTACTTGAATTTACTTGTGGCAAACTAAAGTTGATTCTAGAAATATATCAACGTGACTGCATGATGCAATTTTTGATGGGATTAAATGAGTCTTATTCTAATGTTCGTGACCAGATCATGCTAATGGACCCTTTCCCATCCATAACTAAGGTTTTCTCCTACATTCAACAACAGGAGAGACAACGGATAATAAATTCACCTACATCCTCCATTGAATCTGTTGCACTGGTCACACGAAAATTTTCTAGTCACTCTAAGTCTGTTTTAAATTCATCAAGCTCTAAAAAGGAAAGATCATATTGTACTTACAGCAAAATTACAGGTCACACTTTTGATTCTCGTTTTAAGGCAGGAAATGCTGAGGCACCAATCTGTAGCTACTGTCATATGGCTGGACATATTGCTGAAAAGTGTTACAAGTTTAATGGCTATCCCCCGGGTCATAAGCTTCATGGTAAAGAAAAACCAACTGGAGCACATGCCAATCCAACGTGGTAATGACAACAATGTTGAGGATTCCAACCCAATTTCACTGAGCAAGGGTCAATATCATGAGCTGCTTACATTGTTTAAAGCCAAGGAGTCATCTACTGCTGTAACATCTACTAATCATGTTCAGAATTTGACTTCCACACCTGATCCTTCACCATCCATGTCTGGTATATCACTTTGCCTTTCAGCTCACAACACACAAGTTCTATGCTACCGCAACCTACTTAGATTATAGATACTGGCACTATGGATCATATGATCTGTAACATCTCCTATTTTACCTCCATAACTTCTTCAGTTTCTTACTCGGTTAGAATGCCCAATGGAACTTTGTCTCATGTTACACATATAGGAGTTGTGCAGATAACTGAGACCATAATTTTGCATGATGTCCTTTGTGTCCCCTCATTTACCTTTAATCTGATCTATGTTAAAAGGCTTACTTCGCAATTACATTGTTGCCTTGTTTTCTTACCTAATGAATGTTTGATACAGGGTCTTTCATCTTGGACAACGATTGGGAAGGGTAAAGTTGAGCATGGCCTATATCACCTGCAACCCAGCCAAGTTTCTCCTACTGATCTTGAACATTATCTTCCTAGTTTTACCAAGAATAGTTTCATTTCAGCTTCTGTTATGCATTCTCCTGTAGAATTTGATTTGTGGCATTATCGTTTAGGCCACATTTCTAATTCCAGAATTCAACTTATTCAAGATTCAGTTGTATTTTCCAATACTCAATCAATGAAATCTCATGTTTGTCATGTCTGTCCACTTGCAAAACAACATCGCTTGCCTTTTCCCATCAACACACATAAAACCTCACAATTATTTGATTTAGTTCATGTAGACCTTTGGGGAACTTGTACAGTCGAAGCCCATGATGGGACACGATATTTTTTTACCATAGTTGATGATTTTTCTAGAAGTACATGGACATATATGTTAAAAATAAAATCACATGTGAAGTTTTGTCTTATTTCCTTTTCCAACTTGGTTGAGACACAATTTACCACTAAAATCAAGATTTTACGTAGTGACAATGGACTTGAGTTTTCTCTTCCGGACTTCTACTCAAAAAAGGTATTATTCACCAAAAAAGTTGCGTTGAAACACTACAACAAAATGGTTTGGTAGAAAGAAAACATCAGCACATTTTGTAGATAGCACGAGCCCTTAGGTTTCAATCTGGAGTTCCTATGCAATTTTGGAATGAATGTGTAATGACTGCTGTACATTTAATAAATAGGACTCCTAAACCCTTGCTGCAAAAATGAACTCCATATGAAATTTTGTTTGGACATAAGCCTTCTTACTCTCACTTACGTGTTTTTGGTTGCCTGGCATTTGTGTCCACTCTAGCATATGGAAGAAGAAAATTTGACCCTAGAAGTAGAAAGTCGGTTTTTCGAGGATATCCCTTTGGAGTAAAAGGTTATAAACTCCTTGACCTGGCCACCAACACCATTTTCCTTTCTCCTGATGTCATCTTCCATGAAAGATATTTTCCTTTCCAAGTTCCTACTACCTCTTCTCACACAACAAATTGTTCTTCACCTCTTCCTCTTCCAATTTATTCATCCACTCCTCTTGTAGAAATTAAGATCTCTTCCTCTCCTCTTGACCCTCTTGAATTTCCACATACTTCTCCTCCAACAAGTCCACCTGATCCACCCACTACATCCAATTTACCTACGGCTCCTACTTCACCAATTCCCAAATCTTCCCCTCATGTTGCTCTTCGAAAGTCCAACAGAACTCGTACAGCTCCCAAGTACTTGCAAGATTTCCATTGTCAACAATCTTCTTCAATCTCACCCATACAGGTCAACTCAACTAACCATTCTCTATCGTCGCCTAAGATGAGCTCTTCTACTTCAGGTAAACCTTCCTCTCT